AAAACTGGGCCCACACAGGCGATGGATGACTCAGGAATAACCCAGGTCCGGGACTTGCTGAGGGAGACTTCATCCCACCGGGGAAGGAAAGGGGGCAGGGCTGGGGTGGGAGTGGGAGTGGCCATGATGGGAAAAGGGAGGGAAGGAGGAAGGCCCGCTGGCCGTGCATAGCACAGCATTCCCAAAGGGAGCCTGGGGCCCCTCAGCTCCAGTTCCCAGCCCCTCCTGTGTTTCTCATGCCAGCCACCTCCAAGAAGGAATATTTGTTTCACAGTGGGACTTGGGGGGGGGGTCACAGTTTTCCCTCAAACCCAAGAAATGATCCATAGAGAGCATCCAAGACATCCCTGTTCAGAATAATTTGAAGAGGAGATGGAGGGGACTACCAGAGGACAAGGGACAGTGAGCTTCAGGTGCACCCATGTGGACTCACAGGGACAGAGAATGGGCTCAAAGCCAGCACAGAACCCTTAAGAGTTTTTTCAGGGCAGGGAGAGGGCTCCCACCATTGACATCTGCCCAGACTCCTGAGGGAGTCCTAAACTCCCCAGTGCAGGAGCAGTGAGCTGGGCACCTACTCAGTGCAGTACCGTGTGCATCTGCCAAGGGGAATGTGAGGGGCAGGAGATGTAGCTGCACCTCCGGGAGGCTATGAAAGAGTCAAACAGAAAATAAACGACAATTCAGCATCACAGCAGATGACCTCTTTGAGCTGTCTCCTCATCTGCCAAACAAAGATAGCCTTTATCTCATATGACTTTAGTAAGGATTAAATGAGATCACTTTTATAAAGTGCCTGACTCTACTCTGTAGATACTCAATAAATGGTAATTCTTACTAAAACACACACACACACACACCCAACAGAAGAGATGTCACAGGGCAGGCTAGGCCTGATGCCAAAGTAGTGGATAAACAGTAAGGGAGATGGGTTTACGAGGGGAAGTGAAAGCCACTGCTGGGGCTGGAAGGGCTGAAAAGACCACCCAACGGGGCCAGAGTCTGAACAGGTCCCAAAAGCTGCTCTAGCAAGCTGGGCACTCTGCTGGGTGTTCCCACATTCACCCTCTACACGGGTCCTAGAAAGTAGGGACAACATGTCACCTTCCCGATGAGGCAAATCAGGTTCAGAGGAACATGGTACCTGGCCCAGGCTTTCCAAGCATGTCTTTCCTTTCCTCCAGAGCTGGAGGGGCAAGGCAGGGCCAAGAGGAAAGGCATGCCTCATGGGTGCAGCTAAACTAAATGCAAGTAGGATGACCAGCCCAGGCCCTGTGAGTGCCCTGGGGCTTCTGAAAACACATGTCCTACCTGAGGGCTCCTCCTCGTCCTCAGCTGACTTCCCCTCCCACCGTCCTGCAGTCAGCTGTTTTTCCAAAGAGAAAAAGGTCACCTGTTTCTTTTTAGAAAGGTCCCATCTGGGCTTCTTGAGACAGTTTCAAGGTGACCTTTAAGTTGTTCCTCTCTCCTTTTGAGAAGTGGGAGGGAAGAATTCTAGTCTTATTTTTACAGGAAATCAGTGGCTGACTCTGATATCCTGGCCTGGGAAGTGGGCATAATAATCGCCATCCTCCCCAATCACAGACTTGCTCTAGGAGGAAATGTCAGGATACACCTTGCAAAAATCAAAACAAGCTGAAAGATGTTTGTTTGCCTCTGGTCAGGAGACAAGATGAATGCCTGCTTTATGGGCCCCCAGGCCTCTGCCAGGAGTTTCAGGGACATGGTCAAACAAACCCAGTGGGTGCCAGTGGTGAGCTGGGTTACAGCGAGGCTCTCCCTTGGAATAAGCACTGGACCGGGAGCCAGGTGAACTGAAGACAATGCAGAGTTCATGCAGGGTCCAAATCACGATGCGCGGTGGGGGTGGGGAATGGACTGAGCCTACAGCTTGGGGTCTCTCTCACAGTTCTCTAGTCTAAATGCCCTCAAGCCACCAGCCCCTCTACACCAAGGATAAGGCAAGAATGCCTGACTGTCAGAGAGAGACAAGAGGCCCAAAGAAGGGAATCAACTTGCCTACTCGCCCACTGAATCAGTTAGAGAAGCCAGCAGCATCTACTCTGAAACTTCAGCTCTAACCCCACCCTCCCACATGCATCTCTGATGGTGTCTACCTAAGGCTCTGGTTAGTGATTAGATGGGGATGAGAACTGCACACAGCTCTCTCTATTCTCAAAGGAGGGGTACCTTGCAAGGGAATCAGCTGCCACAGATGACAGAATAAGGGCTCCAACATAGCTCCTACCCACACTGGGGCAGAGGGGCAGAGGGAATAGGAAAGACCCCAAAATGAACTCCTAGGTTCTTGCGTATCTAACAGTGTGGAGGGAACGTGGCCTTAGCCCCCGACCCTATCTCCTAAGTCAGCTGATGCCATCTCCCCTCCACCTAGGACCAACTCTGGAGGCAGCTTAAGTGAAAGGAAAAATCAAGTCAGCAGGACACATTCCAAGCCCTGAAACCTTAAGGACAGACACCCTGTGGCAGCCTAGGGTTGAGGGACATGTAATCCTCCAGCCTCAGAGGAAGACTCTGGGAGGGTGAGGAAGTGGGATGCATTGCCTTCGGTGGTGAAAATGCCATCGGGGCAGCTGCCGCTCACTGAATGCTTCCTCTGGACACAAGGACCACTTTATGTGTGTTCATTTAGTCGGCGGCACATCAGCGGCACGATGGCTAGATATATGATTTCCCCATTTTATACATGACGAAACTGAGGTACAGGGTTAAAAAAAGAAGTGGAAAAGTGGGAACTCCCCAGACCCTTATCTAATGCTACACTGCAAAGGTGAAGAAACAAATGTGCTTTCACTTTTGCCACCTGAACAGGGACCCCTGAGGTCTTTCGGTCACCTTTCTCTCTATTTTCTTTCCCAGGATGGCCAGATGCTAGGACTCTTCTGTTTCAGGTGCAGAAAAACACCCTTCTAAGCCAGAAACACAGACTCTCAGAGCTGTGAAGGCCTTCAAGACCATATCTAACTTCCTCGCTTTACAATGGGAAAACTGAGGCCCCAAGGCTGAGTGACTTGCCTGGGTTGTCCAAGTCAGTGAAATGGCAGAAATAGCAAAACCAGAAAGGGACACAAAGATCAACTGATAGGTGGAGATGGGTGGGACCGGCCTGAGGTCGCAGAGAGAGGTGGGGTGAGATGCCAAGTCTTCTAACTTCTAAACTGGTGCCCTTGCCATGGTACCATCTCTGTTCTCCTGCTGCCCAGGGTCCCTGGCACAGGTTCTGGTGAGGACAAAGCAGGCCAAGCCTGACTCCATTAGAACCAGAGCTATCAGGCCTGTAGAGACAAACTCCTGCCTGCCCAGAGTAGGATTTCTGTGGTCATGCTGTCATCCCACCAGAAGTCACTGAGACCTACAACATGTGGGTCAGCCCCCAAGGCTCTAGCACAATGCCAGGTGTGGGGGCGGGGGCGGAAGAGTGTAGGGCAATGGATAGACGATGCTTGTCAGGTCTCTTCCTGGTCTCACACAGCAAATGACACATCATGGTTACTTCGGTTTCTTACAACAATTAAAATACAGGTTTTAAAACTCAAATGATAAGTTCAAATTTAGAATCTTACCAGTTTCACAGGTGGGCAAGACTTACACAAAAAGGACCCAGCTTGTTCAAGGTCATGTTATTGATCAGAATCAGTGCACATGGCTCCCCAGGCCCAGTCCTTGACTTTTTCCAGGAAACTGGCTGCCATTAGGGTATAGGTGCCAGTGGCCCAGGTCTATGTACAGGCCAGGCCCTGCTACCATCACAGCACCCAAGCCCTGCACCAGGATGCCAAGCTCCTTGATGTGTCCAGAGTGCCCTGCGGCAGCGCGTCCCACAGCCTGCCTCACACCAACCTGGCACTGCCACTCAGTGCCGGCACATCCTTGGGAAAGCTGCAAGGCTTCCTGCCAAGGGTCACGAACTCCCCAGACCCAAGCCATCAGAGTCCCCAGCCCCCATGCCTTCCACAGCTAGCTAGGGCTAAAAAAGCAAAGGCAACTTTTAAAGCCGCCACCCTCCTCCTTCCAGGGACTTCTGGGCTATGCAGGCTCCGGGGAGCTCCATCAATCACCTAGCAGAGCAGAGTGCTCAGGCCCAGCAGGGGGACCAACCCTCTGGAAGAGGACAACTTTCATGTTTCCTTCTCCCACAAAGAACATTTCAAAGTCTCTTCAGAACATCCCGAGCCCCTGTACCTGTCTCTCTCCTGCCTGGTTGGGTGGCAGACCACCAAGGACGGGTCAGCCCAGACACCACCTTGAGACACAGCCGGGTACCAACCTGGACGTGAGCTGGCGTCAGGCCAAGCTTCAACTGCCTCCATTCACCCTCCACCCCCAAAACAGACTGCAGAAATTCCACAACCTCCTGTCCCATAAACTGTTTAAAGAATGGCATTCCTGGGCCAGAAACTGACTCAGGGGCTCCTGACCTGCCTGGACAGGCAAAGCTAACAGACAATATTCCGGAGATAAAGGAGGGTGAAAATATCAGACCCCCTCACACTTCTAGGTGTCCAGGCACGGATCCCCGGCTATAATCAGACTCCTTTGACAGGCCAAGTGGAAATATACTCCACCCTGGAACACCTTCCCATGCAGTGTGTAATTGCGCTGGTTGCTCTTGACAGAGCAGACTGTGCCACTTGCTGGGAGACACTCCTTCCTGCCTTACACACAGCTGGATGCCTGGCTCCCCTCAGGGTCTGGCCCAGCCAGAGGAGACTTGCCAGGTCTGGTAGCCTTCCTGAAACTACCTAGTATCAGAAGTACCCCATGCTCTAATTCTGCTCTTTCCCGTGCACTATGTTGGCTCCAATCTTGGGACGCCACAGAGCTCAAGCTTGAGAAGAACCAAGATGGCAGGATGGAAGCTGCCTATGTTACAGGAGGAGTCCAGACCTTCATTCCTGCCTCAGGTGGTGAGGATAAGGATGGGGCAAGAAGCTCACCAGTCTGGTGGCAAAGAACGCATCAGAGTAAACTGGACTTACCTATCTTCATGAGGCAGGCCAGCAGGATCCAGAGGGAGATCTCGAAGGGTGTGCGCACGTGTGTGTAGTCAATGCCCAGGACTGGAAAGGGCTTTCGGGCCTTCCTGCCCTCTGCATTGTTGGAATGGTTAACAGGGTGGCTCTCAGGGGTGAGCTCTGGCGGGGCAGTAGTAACATCCCCAAGTGAGCGTTCCCGGGGCGACTCTGAGCCTCGGATGGTGCTGGCAGTAGGGCTGGGCTGGAGGCCGTGGCTCCTGAGAACAGGTAGTAGCCCCACCAATGCTACTACCACAAGCAACGAAGGGAAGATTCGAGGTGGAGACAAGCCACAGATGCCAGACCACAGAAGCATCCTGCCCCTCCCTCAGCCCGTAGGCCTCGACCCTTAGCAAAGTGAGAGTCAGACCTGGGACATAAGTAGCAAGGGGTCAGCAGGTGGGAAGAAGGACTGGGGTATCTCAGGAAAAGTTCATGTTTTAGAGGTCTTTTTGTAGAAGCAGTCCTCTGCGGGTGGAGGGAGGCTGGGTTCTCGGTCTAGCACTCCAAACTGGGGAAGAGGGACAAGGACCCAGGACGGGCCACAGGAAGAGACCACAGGTCTGGAACTCCAGGCCAGAGAAAAGGAGTAGGGAATCCACTGCACCCTAGGACAGAGAAAGGGACAGGACAGGTTGCACCCCAGGGAAAAAAAAAGGAAGAGGGAAGGCTGGGACTCTTGGCTGAGGAAAGTGACTGAGGAGCGGGCACTCGAAGAAGGGAAGCAGGGAGCCTGCAATTAAGGAAGGGATCAGAAGGGGACCAGTCCAGGAAAATAAAAGAGGGGGCTGGGAGACTAGGTTGCGAGGAAGAAATGAAGCCAGAAAGCAGCCGGGAGCTTCCCCACCCAGAGAAGCGTCTCGGTGCAGGCGCGCCGCGGGGAGATTCCGGGGAAAGGGAGGGGAGAGGAAGGCGGAGGCAGGCGGCCTGGCAGGAGCGCGCCGCCGCGCGGGCAGGGGGCGGCTCGCGGTGGGACAGCAGCAACACGCCCCTCCTGGCGGCCCCGGCGCAGCTCTGCGCTCCGCCCCGGCCCAGCTTCAGCTTCCCCAGGTCCAGCTCCACTTCTAGCTCCTACGCGGGGTCCAGCCCCAGCGGCCGTGAACTGATACCTAGCTGAGCCGGTCACTGCCATTTATAGGCACCAACGAGCATCCAGCGTAAGCAGGCTAGAGGGACCTGTCAGCACCCTCTTGGCGCAGCGACCCCTTGGCGCCGACGGAAGGAAGTATTCCGTAAGAAGAGAGGAGAGCCAGAGATGATGGCACAAAAAAAGTCCTGAATCTGCAGAGATTCTATCAAACAGGGGTAAAATGCTTTACTAATTACAAAGCACTTGAACGTCCACACCGTAGTCTCACAAGGCTTCCCGATAGTCTTGTGAAGGATTTATTATCTTATGAATTTAGTTACCATGTGACCTTGAGCAAGTTACTTAACTTCCCTGTTCCTCACTTTTTCATCGGTGAAATGAAAATGGTAGTGGTGCCTATCGGAGGGATACTGGGATGACTGAATGTGGTCATTTGTGTAAAGTGTTTAAAATGAAGCTCGGCACATAAACCTACTATCAGTTTCAGTTTTTCAAATGAGAAAATGGGTGAAGAGAGTTCCTTAGCTAGTATGTAAATAGCTATATTAATTTGCCAAGGTTGCTTTAACCAAACACCACAAACTTGGTGTTTAAAAAAAAAAAATTGTCTCATATCCTGGAGGCTGGAGGTCTGAAATCAAGGTGTTGGCAGAGTTGGTGTTTTTTTATTTTGGGTTTTGTTTGTTGTTGTTTGTTTTCGGCTAAGAAGAGATGATTTCTTGTACACATTCAGCCACAAATGATAACAGAACCAGTCCAGAATGTCACAGGTCCAGGGCAAAGAGCCAAAAGGAACTGTTGTAGTAAGAGCAGTGTGGGTCTCTCAAGAGGTGGTCGTGGTGATGAGATGGCAATGTAGGTTCTACATCCGTTGACAAGTTCTTGATAGCAGGCATGCAGTTGAACAATTTGTACCAGTGTCCCTGTCCTCTGGCTTCCCTTATTTCCGCTCCTGTGGCTTCCATGGGTACACAAGTTAGCAGTTTACTTGGACCTCTGCCTCATCTTTCTTCTTTTGCACTTCAGCCTGTGCATTTGCTTCTTCCTCCACTTAGCTTTCGTGGCACGGAGGTTTCTGAGAAGATGGCGCTGAGGCCCAGAGCCAGAGTTGGTGGTTTGCTGACAATCTTTTGTGCCCTTTGACTGTGGCAGCATAACCCCTTTCTTCACACGGCGATCTCCCTGTGTCTCTGCCTTTGGGTCCAAATTCCCCTTTTTACAAGGTCACCAGTCAGACTGGATTAGGGGCCCTTCCCAATGAACTCATCTTGACTTGATCATCTTCAATAACACTACCAAATAAGATCACCTTCCCAGTTACTAAGGGTTTGGACTTCAGCATCTTTTAGAAGACACGATTCAACCCACAGTAGTAGTAGAACTGATATTTGAATGTACAGTGGTGGTTAGCATTGGTGGGATTCAAAAGGCCATGGCTGTACCCTGGAATCACTGGAAAGTTTTTAAGCACCACCATTGCCTGGGACCCACCTTCAAAGGCTTGGACTCAGCTGCTCCTGGGAAGCGCCCAAACATGATGGGTATTTTTTCAAAAGCTCCCTCAGACGATTCCAATGCACAGTTAGGATTGAGAACTATTGAAATTACTAAAATGCCATCCCTACTTTGCAGAAGATTAAATCAAGGCCAAGAAGGTCAGGGTGACTAGCAAAATTATTTCAAAGGGTTTCAGTTCAGTTTAGCCAATGTTTACTGTGCCTCTTGAGAAGGCTTTGTGCTGTGCTCTGGCAATACTGATACAAGACATGGGGAGGAGGGAAGTGGCAGTGAGGGGGAAGGGGCTCAAAATAGGAACAACGAGGGCTTCTAGGGGGCTGATAATGTTCTATTTCTTTACTGGGTGATGGTAACAAAGGTTACACAGATGTAGGTTTGTTACTCATCAAACACTTATGGTTTGTATACTTTTTAGAAGATATGCTATCCTTTCACTAAAAGGTATATTAAAATACTGGAGCGATTGATAGTGACGGAAGGTGCCAGCATTAAACTGAATTCTCTCTGCCTCACATTCTCCTGGCACAGGTCCAGTCACTTGAGAGATGACAAAAGAGCCTAAAGGAGCCTGCAGAGAAGGCCAAGGGGTTTGCATCACCTGGGAGCAGCTGAAAGGAGGACATCAGTTACACTGGAAATAACCAAAGAGAGGAACAGCATGTAGGACAAGGATCAGAATAATGACAATGATGCCTCACAATGGTTCAGTCTGTTACGGTTCACACCCAAGTGGCCCAGGTTTATCAGTGACCCAAGTCCTGGTGCATAGTAAGGGCTCATTTTCATTTTATAGATGAAAAACAGGGACTCAGAAATGAAGCCATTTGGCCAAAGCCACACAGCTATTAGGTAGCAGATCCAGAACTTAAGTCAGCTTTCTAATAAGTGAATCAGAACTCTTTCAAAACACCACAGGTTCAGTGTTGAAAAAAAGAGAGAGGGAAGAGGTGGGGCTAGTAGAGGGACTTCCCCCAGATAACATGGGGCCAGAAGCCGGAGACTTCTAGTCCTTTCCATTCTTGGGGACGTTCATTATTGTGCTCCCATCCTCCCCACTTACCCACTCTCCCTCGTTTCATCCTCAGTGACTCCTTGGCAGGTAGCAGATCCCACAAGGGCCAGCCCTGAGATCCTCCACAGCCTGGTGAACATTATAACATGACGGAAGCAGGAAAGAGCTCTTGGGAGAAACCGTCTGGGATGGCCCATGGCCAAGGCTCAACCCAGACCAGGGAGTAAAGCATAAAAGTTAAGTATGGGTGCTGCCCAACATGGATAGCCATTTTATCTAGGTTAATGCCTTGGCTGGTGTGGTTCAGTGGATTGAGTGTTGGCTTGCAAATGGAAAGGTCACTGGTTCAATTCCTAGTCAGGGCACGTGCCTGGGTTATGGGCCAGGTTCCCAGTTGGAGGCGTGCAAGAGGCAACCAATTGATGTATCTCTTGTACATCGATATTTCTCTCCCTCTTTTTCTCCCTCCCTTTCCCTCTCTGTAAAAATAAATAAATAAAATATTTTTTTAAAATCCCAGCACCTCCACTCACTAGTTGTAAGGCCTTAGATAAGTCAGTCAAACCCCCTGTTCCACAGTCTCCCTCCATAATGTGAGGAGCATGCCAGTCTTACAGGACTATCATGAGGGTGTTAGCCAATGCCCTTAGAGGAGCGCCCCAGCCTGTACTGCATACATTTACCTGATTAACTACCATGAATGGACTGTATGTCAACCTCTGTCGGTGACAGGGAGCCTCTATCATGAGTGTAATGTGTTATTTTAGAAACTTTAACACCAAGGTCTTCACCTCACACTCCCTTCCAGTTACGGCCAAACTTGAGAGAATTGTCTATAACATATGCGTCATTTCTCTCCTCCCAGTCTCTCTAATCCGGTTAGGTTTTCACCCCCATGTACTGTACCCGATTTACTCTCGTCAGTGTCACTGGTGATCTTCGTAACAGAGGAAAAGTCTCTTCCTCCACTCATTTTAGATTCTCCATCTGAGGCCCTATAAATTAGACTGGTCAAAGACAGGTCAACAAGAGAAAAACAGGCTCTGGCTGGTGTGGCTCAGTGGACTGAGTTTCAGCCTGCAAACCAAAGGGTTGCTAGTTCAATTCCCAGTCAAGGCATATGTCTGGGTGATGGACCAGGTGCCTAGTTAGGGGTGTGCGAGAGACAACTTATTGATGCAGCTCCCACCCATTGATGTTTCTCTCCCTCTCTTTCTCTCTCCCTTCCTCTTCTCTAAAAATAAATAATTTATTTTAAAACCTAAAAAAATAGAAGTTCATAAACACACATTGCAAACCCAGAGGTGAGTGACTCAAAAGTTTAATTAGAACTTGGGCTTATATAGCATCTTAGCAAAGGAACAATAAGTTTTTAGAAAAGTGACGAGACAAAGGAAAAGGACCTCTATCTAGGGGTGGCAAACTGTGGGAAGGTAAATATATGGGAAACTCGGTAGATAAAGGCTAGTTAGTAAAGTTTATTCTATAGATCCCTCTGGTCCTGTCTCCAGGTTAATAAGGATCTAAATTTGTCTTTTGTGATTACTTGTTTTTCCTGGTAGAAAGGAGGGACACCCTTAAATTTGTGTCCTGCTTTTATGCAAATAGGGGGAGGACAGAGAGTGTTCTCATCTGCTTCTTTTCAACTGCCTTCACCTCCAAATAATCCTTATGCTGAAGTGGCATGTTTTGGGGTGGCATATTCTGCCACCCCACACCTTTATGTTGCTCAGTGAAATGGCCATACCTCAGTCCTCATCTTTCTTTACCTATCAGCAGCCTCAACACATTTGATCACTTTCTCCTTGAAACACCTTCCTCAGCTGATCAGACCCCACTCTCTCCTGTTTTCCCCACTCCCACTTTCCTGACTGATCCAGCTCAGTCCCTGTTGCTGAGTCCTCCCCCTTCTCCTTTCTGTTCCTCAGTGACAACCTCCCAATGTTAGGGCCCCAGGGCTGAGTTCTCACCTTTTCATGTTCTATATCTACAATCATTTCTCTAGTGATCTCATCCTTTCTTGTGGTTTCAAGTAGCATCTATAGGCAGACAACGCATAGATTTTTCTTTTCTGCTCTAAACTTCAGACTACCAACCGCATCTGGCTGATGACTCAACACGTCCACCTTGTTGTCCAAGAGAAATCTCAGACTCAGCATGTCCGAAGCAAAACTCCAGGCCTTCCCACTCCCTCCTGAAGCTGATTCTCCCACTCTCTTCCCGGTGGTTGTCACTTCATCTCCCACTTACTAAGATAAAAAATCTTGAGTTATCTTGGACCTTCTTCCTCCCTTCCACCCTTCCTTCATTTTTTCATATGTTCCAGCAGCCTCAACACATTTGATCACGTTCTCCTTGAAACACCCTCCTCAGCTGATCAGACCCCACGCTCTCCTGTTTTCCCCCTCCCCAAAAGCCTAGCTATCATCCATCACCATACGGTGACCCTCTTTACCCCTTTCAGTCATCCCCAGCCCCCTTCTCCTCTGGTAACCCCCATCTGTTCCC